ATTATAGAAGATAAATAAATCCCAGATACCTGCTTCCAGCCAGGCTCCACTGGGAGTTTGGGTGGCTGGGGGCGGTGGCCAGCCTGCAAACAGCCATAAACCCCTCACCAAGGATGGCCACACCCTCATGGGGTGAGGGTCCCCGTTGGGGGGCTTGGCCAGCCTGCAAACAGCCATCAGCCACTCACCAAGGCTGGCCAAACCTTCATGGGGTGAGGGTCCCCGCTGGGGGGCTTGGCCAGCCTAAAAACAGCCATCAGCCCCTCACCCAGACTGGCCAGGAACCCCAGCAGGACTCCCCACCCTGAAGGGGGTGTGACCAGCCTGAAAATGGCCCTCAGCCCCTCACCCAGGCTGGCCAGGCACTCTAGCGGGGACCCCCACCCTGAAGGGGGTGTGTTCAGTCTGAAAATGGCTCTCAGCCGCTCACCCATGCGGGCCAGGCACCCCAGTGGGACCCCCACCCTGATCCGGGACACCCTTCAAGGCAAACTAGCCAGCCCGCACCTGTGCACCAGGGCTATATCCTATATAATAAAAGTGTAATATGCAAATTGACCCTAACAGCAGAACGACTGGGAATGATTGGTCACTGTGACACACACTGACCACCAGGGGGCAGACGCACAATGTAGAAGCTGCCCCCTGGTGGTCAGTGCACTCCCACATGGGGGAGCTCTGCTCAGCCACAAGCAAGGCTGACAGCTGCCAGTACAGCAGTGATGGTGGGAGCCTCTCCCGCCTCCTCAGCAGCGCTAAGGATGTCCGACTTAGGCCTGCTCCCCGCTGGCAAGTGGACATCCCCTGAGGGCTGCTGGGCTGCCAGAGGGATGTCTGACTGCCAGCTTAGGCCCGATCCCCCAGGGAGTGGGCCTAAGCGAGCAGGTGGTCATCCCCCGAGGGGTCCCAGACTGAGAGAGGGCACAGGCCAGGCTGAGGGACCCTCCCCCCTGAGTGCACAAATTTTTTTGCACCGGGCCTCTAGTAAGTTATATTATAGAATATTGTGTTTTACAGAAAGGACAAGATTTCACATCATTGGCATTACTCTATAAAGTATCTAAATTTATAGAGATACTAGCAGGAAAAATAAAATATATATAATCTATAATAATAAAAGTGTAATATGCTAATTAGACCAGACAGCCCAATGATCTTTCGGACATCCTTCCGGATGACCTTCTGAATGAAGCCACTGTGGCAGGGGCTGAGGCAGAGGCAGCCGCCACGGCAGGCGGGGGCTGAGGCTGTTAGGGGCGATCAGGCAGGAATGCAGAGTGGTTAGGGATGATCAGGCAGGCAGGTGAGCAGTTAAGAGCCAGTGGTCCCAGATTGCAAGAGGGTGCAGGCCGGGCTTAGGGACTCCACCCATTCATGAATTTCATGCACTGGGCCTCTAGTCTGTAATAATAAAAGCATAATATGCTAATTAGACTTGACAACAGAATGACCTTCTGGGTGTTTTTCCTCATGACCTTCTAGACGAAGCCAGGGCTGTGAGGGCTGAGGCAAGCCACCGTGGATGTGAGGGCCAATGCAAGCTGCCGCAGTTGCGAGGGCTGAGGTGAGCCACCGCAGCTGCGAGGGCTGAGCCCCTTGCATGAAATTTTGTGCATTTGGCCTCTGCTGGAAGCTACCCATTTCTACACTATCATGAAAGTGCAGCAGGGAATACAGAAGTCTGATGGACCTTGGGCTTTAGCAAAGGCTAAAGCTATGCACCGATTGTTCTGTTAAGACAATGGTGGCTCATGGCAATCCCCTAACCTGATAATCTTTTATTATTTACTAAACCTTACCTTTTATATGCTTGTTTACATTCCTAAAGGACAAATGTGTATTCTAGTAAATAAAAAGCAAAGGGGACCAAAAAGTCAGGGAACCTCTCCACTAGAGAGTAAGATCTCCTCCTGGCTCCCCCCATGCCTTCTAAATTTATATTTCTTGTCTAGTATATCCGTTTATATGCAGCCCCTTCTCCAGATCCTGAATCCTTGCTGCAAATGGTTGTGGCATTTTGGCACCTCAAAAAGGACATCTGGAGAAGAAGATTCAATGGAGCGAAAAACGAAGATAGTTCGCCGGAAAGGTGGGATTCACCGAAAAGGTGGGGAGACTCACTGCACATAAAGCCCATGCCAAGCTTCGGAATTCACAATCCGAAGTGGGTGGGAATGTCTTTTTCAAGCCAGGCTATAATGGGGAAGAATTCGACCAAAAGGCAAAAATATCATTGTAAATTTTTAACTTCTTTGCTCAAGGATAAAGAAATTAAAATGTCAAAAGGTACTCTCTTAAATCAGGCTCAAGGAAAACGAGCGCCCTTGTCATCTTTGACTATGTGGGTTCTTGTTCAAATTGCATTATGCCTAATTCGTATTGGGGATCAAAAGTATGTAATACTTAAGGCCCCAGATCCTTTGCCTCTATGTGGAAAGACTCAACAGCTAAAGAAAATGGAGCTATCCGTCATTTTACAAAAGGATTCTTTAATGCTTTGTCTGAAAATTACATATGATGCTTTGGGACACGCAGATTTTAGCTAAAACAACTTTAGACGCCAGTCAATGCTATGAAGAGCAGGAAAAGATAAGATCTGTAAACAATAAGCTGAGATCTAGGCTGCATTCTGGCTGTAAGCCCCAGGCAAATATAAAACATCTGAAAAGATTCATGAAAAGAACTCTGATTTATTAAGTCTTGTCTAATGTTATGGGTGCTTGTCTGTTCATTGTTGTTTTATCTGTCTTTTTTGTTTATTGTTAGTCTATTAAGTATGCCTTTGATTTAATTAATTTATTTATTTATTTTTTAAATATATTTTATTGATATTTTTACAGAGAGGAAGGGAGAGAGATAGAGAGTTAGAAACATCGATGAGAGAGAAACATTGATCAGCTGCCTCCTGCACATCTCCCACTGGGGATGTGCCCGCCACCAAGGTACATGCCCCTGACCGGAATCGAACCCGGGACCCTTCAGTCCGCAGGCCGACGCTCTATCCACTGAGCCAAACCGGTTTCGGCTTGATTTAATTTAATAAGAAAAGAAACCTAGGTGGCCAGGCCATTTACTGAATTTCCCCAGAACAAACAGAATGTGGGGGTGGGGAGACACGTGGGGGATGGTACATGTCCTAGGAGACAAAAGGAAGTAACTGAAAAAGGCCCCAGCCCATTAATTACTAAGTCTTTTGGTGATCCTGTAAAATGGATGCCTACTCCCGAGAGTGCTATTAAAAGTCTCATTTTCACCATGTTTTCATTTCCCAGTCCGTCATTTGAAATTTGGCAGAATTTAGGTATACGTCTGGGATTTCTGTACTCGTGAAGAGAAAAAGACTAGATTAAGAGAAGGCGTGCCCTGCCCGATTTTGGGTGGCCTCTTAAAACTGAGCTCCATCTCTTTACGGATACTATAGAACAAACCCAAGACTGTTTTTCTTTAAAAGATGGCGAAAATGACACAAGGAAAATATAGAGGCTGAATTTAGGCAACAAGATTAGTATTTCCATAATAATGGGTAGTTCTTTAATAATAATGGACCGCATTCCAAGATTAACATTAAAGCTACCAATAGTCAGTAAGTTATATCTGTTACAGAATTTGCCAAAGAAAATGCCTTAGATAATAATAATTGGCTTTAAAATCTCAAAATTGTTGAAACATGGATAAATAGATGTAACTAACATAAAGGATTTGTAGTGGAGCTTTTCAGTGAGAATTATAGGTATATTGATAGTGGGGGTCCAGTCGCCCAGGGGGAGACTGACTTTGCTCTCTGTTGAAGGAGGGGGTCGGCCGTGTTTCCCGCAGCAGTAACCTTAGATATTATATCTAAGGAATAATGTGGAGGTTTTAAAATTCAAATGGCTACAGGCCAACTTCCAAAGTCTTTGGTAACTTAAAACTTTGGAGTTTACTGAATTAAATAATAAAAATTATTAAATATCTAGGTATTTTAAAATAACAAAATACTGAAATGTTAATCTGAGTTTGCCTTGTATGAAAAATCTAGAGGACAGAATTGAATCTATTAATTAAATATGTCTTGTATTTTTGAAATATATCCTTAAAAATGTGAAGGTATTACTAATCTAAAAAATGCTAAGTATTTAATTTGCCACCTAAAATTTAAGGCTTCTAAGAGTTTAAAGTTCAAATTAAGTTGGGAGGAATCAGATGGTTGTGATAACAAAATGCATAAAGTATAGAAATTTATTTTTGAAAAAATAATTCTTGTATTTTCTCTAGAGAAATTAGTAATTTAAAATATTATAGTCTTTATGTGTACTATGTGTTGTTTAATATAAAAACCAGTTAAAATTTAATTAATATATTTTAGAATAATTACACAAAGTATATAATATAATCTTTACGTTATGTATATTTGATAGTCTTTCCAAGTTAAATTTCAAGACTTTAACTGAGATATAGCCTTGGGACATTTCAAGGGCCCTGGAATTATTCAAGGATTTATTCTC